TCCCAGGACCCTGGGACCATGACCTGAGCCGAAGGCAGACGCTTAACGACTGAGCCACCTAGGCGCCCCTCTTCTTCTTTTTTGTTGTTGCTTTAAATTTTTTTTCTTTATCACTATATTTTGCTATTTAATTACAATATGTCTTGGTGTGGGTCTGCTTTTGTTGATTTTGATTGGAGTTCTCTGTGCCTCCTGGATCTGCATATCTGTTTCATTCCCCAGATTAGGGAATTTTCCAGTTATTCCTTCTTTCTTTTTTTTTTTTTAAGATTTTATTTATTTATTTGACAGAGAGAGATACAGCAAGAGAGGGAACACAAGCAGGGGGAGTGGGAGAGGGAGAAACAGGCTTCCCACCGAGCAGGGAGCCCAACGTGGGGCTCGATCCCAGGACCCTGGGATCATGACCTGAGCCGAAGGCAGATGCTTTCAGTTACTATTTCTTTTCTTTTCTTTTCTGTTCTTTTTTCTTTTTTCCTTTCTTTCTTTCTTTAAGATTATTTATTTATTTATTTGAGAGAGAGTGAGTGAGAGAGCATGAGCAGGGGGAGGGATGGAGGGAGAAGGAGAAGTAGACTCCCCACTGAGCAGGGAGCCTGATATGGGGCTCAATCCCAAGATCCTGGGATCATGATCCAAGCCAGAGGCAGATGCTTTACCAACTGAGCCACCCAGGTGTGTCAAGTTATTATTTCTTCAAATAAATTCTCTGTCCCCTTTCTCTCTCTTCTTCTTCTGGGACTCCTGTGACACAAATGTCATTACATATGATGGAGTCACTGAGTTCCCTAAGTTTAATCCCATTTTGCATAATTCTTTTTTCTCTCTTTTGTTCAGCTTGGTTACTTCCCTTTACTCTGTCTTCTAGGTCACTAATTTGTTCCTTTATTTCTTCCATTCTGCTGTTCATTCCATCAAATGTGTTTCTCATTTCATTTATTGAGGTCTTTATCTCTGCTATGTCATTCCTTATCTCTGCCTTAAGGGTCTCACTCATGTCTTCCACTCTTTGCTTAAGTCCAGTGAGTATCCTTAGGATCATTGCTTTAAATTCTCTATCAGGCATGTTACTTATATCTGTTTTGCTTAGATCTCTGGCCGTGGCTTTGTCCTCTCCTTTCATTTGGGATAAATTTCTCTGTCTCCTCATTTTGTCTGCCTCTCTGTGTCTGTTTCTGTGTGTTAAGGAAGTCAGCTATGTCTTATACTCTTGAAAGTAGTGACTTTATGAAGAAGAGGTCTTGGAGTACCCTGCAGTGCAGTGTCGCCTGTTCACCAGAACCTGGCACTCCAGGAGAGTATCCTCTGTGTGTTGCTATGTGTGTAGCCTGCTGTTGTGTCTGAGTTTCTTTTCTTTCAGTGTAGTTGTCTGCACTGACTCTCTGCCTGTTGTGGGCTGTGTTTGCTCTCTGTGGTGTTAGTGGGACCCAGGCAGCATAGGCGTGCCTGCTGGGGAACTTGAGAGCAGGAGGTGGTATTAGCAAAATTGGCGCTGGGTCACTAGTCCTCTGCTGGATGCCCCGAAGTGCTGCAGTAGCTGGGGGCTGCAAGCTGGGGCTGCTTGGGGCATGAGGCTGGGTGCAGTGTGTGGAGGGAGGCAGCTGTGCACCTGGTGGCTGGGAGCAGTGCACTGCAATGGCTGGGTGCTGTGCCTTTTTGTTGTATTTTATTTGTTGTTTCAGTTTCCTATTGCTAGTATGACAAATTACGGCAAATTTAGGGGCTTAAAACAATGTGAATTTATTATACTTCTAGAGGTCAGAAATCTGAAACAGTTCCACTGTGTTAAAATTACTGTGGCAGCAGACCTGTCTTCATTCTGTAGGCTGGGAAAGAAAATCCATTTCTTTGTCCTTTCCAGTTTCTAGATCCCATCTACATTCCTTGTCTTGTGGCCCCATTCTCCATTTTTGAAGCTCCTTGGCTTAACTGCTACTTTTGTCCTTAAATCGGCTCTCCAACCCTGATCTTTTTGTTTCTCTCTTATAAGGACTGTGGTCACTACAATAGGCTCATCTAGATAATGCTGGATAATCTCCCTGTCTTAATCACATTGCGAAGTCGCGAAGTCCTTCTGCCATGTAAGGTAACATGGTCACAGATGGATGTGGACATTTGGGGGGGGGGCACATTTTCAGCCTACCATACTTGTTCTTTCAGATACATCAAAAACCACTAGTTTTTCTATGTTCTTGTATTTGGGTATGCTTTGCCGAAGTCCCGTTGTTTGTATTTGTTTTAATATTGCTTTCAAACTATTTCATATTTGTTTTTCAGTGGATTCTGTTAGAGTTACTGGCAGTGGTTACATTTGTTCCCTTTCTTCCTGGATTTATAGCTCATTTTGTTCTCACCTCTTTCCATGTTGTCTAGAATCTTCTAGCTAATGCTAAATAATAGCTATGAGAACATGCATCCTTGTATTGTTCTCAACTTTACTAGAAATTGCCTCGTTGTTTTACTACCCAGGGTGGTGGTTTCTGATAAACACTCTTTTAAGTTAAGACATTTCTATCAAATTAAATCCTAGTTGACTAAGATTTTTAGTCAGGAATGTATATTAAATGTATTAACCATTATGGTTATAAGAGTAACCATATGGCTTTTCCCTTTTAATCTATTAATAGCTTTTCCAATAATGATCATCTCTGTATTCCTGGAAGAAATCTTCTTTTGTCACAGTGTATTGTTCTTTGAATGTACTGCTGACTTCTATTCGCTAATATTTTATTTTTGCATTTATATTAATGAGTGAGTTTGGCACAGTGTGTTTAGTAATTGCGCTATCCTTGCACAGTTTTGGCGTTGTTGTGGGTTATCTAGTCATCTTGAATAAATTGGGAAACTTTCCACCTTTTTATATGGTCTGGAACTGTTTATTTAATTATTAACTAATTAATTAATTTTCCACCATCCCTCCCCTGGAACTGTTTAAATAGTATTGAGGTTTTTTGTTTTTGTTTTTTTAAAGATTTTATTTATTTGAGGGGGCGTGTGTGAGAGAGAGAGCATGGGCAGTGGGTGGGGGAGAGAGAGAGGGAAAAGCAAACTCTCCGCTGAGCAGGGATCCTGACGTGGGACTCGATCCCAGGACCCCAGGATCATGACCTGAGGTGAAGGCAAATGCTTAACTGACTGAGCCACTCAGGTGCCCCGAGGTTATTGGTTTTGAAAGTTTTATAAACATAAGGTTCCTTGGACCACTGCTACTTATCTCAAAAACCTTCTGTACCCAATGGTGAGATTGCATTATTCTGAATCACATGTACTTTCTTATCTACTCTGTCTTACAGCATTTGAAGTACAGCTTGTGACCTGTGGAACAGGTTTCCTCTGGGCAAAGCTGCCCAATCCATAAAGAAGGGTCCCATCTACCAACATGGCTTCATTCATAGAAACCTGTCAGGCCAAGGGCTTACACAATAAAGGATTGGCTCCCATGAGACTTCTTTTTTCATGTGCTTTGGGAGTTGTCTTTTTTTTTTTTTTTTTTTAAAGATTTTATTTATTTATTTGAGAGAGAGAATGAGAGAGAGAGCATGAGAAGGGGGAGGGTCAGAGGGAGAAGCAGACTCCCTGCTGAGCGGGGAGCCTGATGCGGGACTCGATCCAGGGACTCCAGGATCATGACCTGAGCCGAAGGCAGTGGCTTAACCAACTGAGCCACCCAGGCGCCCTGGGAGTTGTCTTTATCATTTATTAATTATTGCAGTGTTGCTATGAAGCTTTTTTTTTTTTTTAAAGATTTTATTTATTTATTTGACAGAGAAAGACACAGCAAGAGAGGGAACACAAACGGGGAGTGGGAGAGGGAGAAGCAGACTCCCTGCCGAGCAGGGAGCCCGATGCGGGACTCGATCCAGGGACTCCAGGATCATGACCTGAGCCGAAGGCAGTCGCTTAACCAACTGAGCCACCCAGGTGCCCGCTATGAAGCTTTTTAAAAAAGATTTATTTAGTTATTTTAGAGAGAGAGAGAACTTGAGTAGGGGGAGGGGCAGGGGGAGAGAATCTCCAGCAGACTCCCCGCTGAGTGGGGAGCCTGATGCAGGGCTCAGTCTCAGGACCCTGAGATCATGACCTGAGCTGAAACCAAGAATCGGATGCTCAACTGACTGAGCCACCCAGGTACCCCTGCTGTGAAACTTCTTAGCAAATCTTTTTCAGTTCTTCAAAGAGCACTTTTCAGTTCTCTGCTGAAGTGTTGCTCCCAGCTCAGAATTTGAAATTGATACTTATTTATATAAATGAGGTTGTCCAAGGCTGAGTTGCAGTTTTAGGTTAGTAAACCAGAGGAGTTTGCAGTGACTGGATTTAAGTAATTTTTAAGAGGGGTCCTCTGATTAGGTACATTTTGATTTTAAATCTTTTATCAGGACTGCGTTTACATAAATGTAAAAGTGCTGCTACCACTAATTTCTAAATCAAAATACTCCTGAAATGGGATGCCTGGGTGGCTCAGTCGTTAAGCACCTGCCTTCAGCTCAGGTCATGATCCCAAGGTCCTGGGATCGAGCCCTGCATTGGGCTCCCTGCTCCTCGGGAAGCCTGTTTCTCCCTCTCCCACTCCCCCTGCTTGTGTTCCCTCTCTCACTGTGTCTCTCTCTTTCAAATAAATAAATAAAATCTTTAAAAATAAATAAAATACTGCTGAAATCATCCCATGTATATGATTTAATTAAAAGGTAGTATTTTTGGGGGGTGCCTGGGTGGTATAGTTGGTTAAGCATTCGACTCTTGGTTTTGGCTCAGGTTGTGATCTCTCTCTCTCTGCCCCTCCCCCGACATGTGAATGCTCTCTTTCTCTCTCTCTCTCTCTCAAATAAATAAGTCTTTAAAAAAAAAGTTAGTAATTTTAAAAAGATTTTATTTTTTAAGTAATCCCTACACCCAACATGGGACTCTGACTCACAACCCCAAGATCAAGAGTTCCATGCTGTATGAAAGGTAGTATGTTTGTATCGAGTGTAAGTTGATTTCTCATTCTTTCCCCCCTGCAGTAAAACAGATCATCGGTAACATTTCAATATTTAATGAAACCTGCTTGAGATGGAGAAGTACAAAGACTGCTGATACAGAGGAGATGTATTCAGTAAGTTACCGAACGTTACTCTATGTATAGATGTTGTCTAGTGTGGGAAATTAAAAAAAATATCAGCAAACCTAAAAATCTACTTATGTAGCTGTTATTATCAATGGCAGATTTATGGTAAGAATTGCAAGAAAAAGCAAGAAAATGGGCACTTCTACTACGTATTTGAAGAGAGAGACTTTGGGGATTGCTGAGTAAGCCATGCGAATTACTTTGTGCACATAGCCTGATGCAGAGCTGATGTCCACACAGTATCCGTGGAAGGAACCCATGGCTTTTGCCTGTGTGTGTCTCTTCAGTCCAGTGTCTCTGACCAGGGTCTGCACGTGTCTAGAGAGTCAGGGGGAACTTTCGAAGCTATTGTGGTTGTGAGTAAGGAAGGTAAAGACCATGGGATGAGCTGCTACTAGAAGAAATTAAGTGGGCAGAGAAGTGTGTCTCTTGGGCCAGGTGCTGGGATGTTACAGGAAAGTGTGGAGAATGTCAGAAGGGGGCAGGCACATCTATGTAGATAATATGCATTTTAACTTTTAAAAAAATATGCATTGCTTTATATGAAGCATTAAATGCTGCTTCATGTATAAATAGCTCCTATTTTGATTCAGTTTGGTTCCACATTAAACTGTCAAAAGTTGCTCTGTGATCCTGAAGACACTGTGGCTTGCCTAGATCCAGGGTCGTCCAGTTAAACCTCAAGTGTTGTAAAATGAATAGCAAGATTGGAAGGTGTATGGCCGTCACATTGCAAATACTGTGTTCACAAAATAAAAAATGCATTGTTAAAAAAAAAAAAGAAGAAGAAGAAGAAGAAGGGGGCAGGCCGAGGAGAAAAGCCCTGCTGAGCTTTAACCAGGCCAGCTAGGAGTATCCTCACTCAGGTCCTGCTTTGGGGAAGCCTTAGTTCAGATTCCTCATTTTCTTTGTAGGAAATGTTCTGTGGCCTTGCTCCTGCCCACAGACGTTTCAGCGTTGTGCGTCGTAGATGTGAGAACAAGAACGAGAACATTGTTAGCACTGGGACTTCGGCCTTTTGTACATTTTGATTTAAAAATATTTTTATTGTACTGATATATTGTAACGATGGTGCTTAGGGTGTGACGACTCTAAGATTTGCCTACTGTTCTGTGGTGAAGGAACTTTAGAGTCGAGGGCAAGATGGCTCGTGAGAAAGGGGAAGTATCCAGGCATTTGGAGGCTTCCTCAAGTTAGCCCTTCACTTAGTGAACTTTTCTGTTTCAGTTCCACATTCGGGGCCAGAGATGGTATCAGAAGGAATTTGCCCAGGAGATGATCTTTAATATCACTGCCAGGAGCCAGGCTCCTGAGATGTGCTTGGACCTGCGTCCGGGTACCAACTACAGCATCAGCGTCCACGCTTGGTCTTCTCAGCTTCCCGTGGTCCTCTCCCTGACAACCCAGATTACAGGTAAGTCTTGAATGGCAGCATCTGAAGGAATGAGGTCACCACAGAGCTGTAGGTGGGCCCAGATGAAGAGGAACACCACTGCTTCCTGTCATTCAGTGAACCTGAAGAGCGAGAGGATGCAAGGGCCCTGTGGTTGTGACTGTCATGTTTTCTTTCTTAGAAAGATAGTCGAGACAAAATAGTAACACGAATTAAAGCCATGAGTGCTGGGTACATTCCTTTGGGATATTTGGAATATTTAACATATTTCATACCTAAAAGGCTCTCATTACGGTTTCTCAGGTACGTGTGATTGTCATGTTGTCACAAGTGCCTCCAGAGTCAGTTATTCTCAGGGAAAAGTGATTGGCAGTCCCACTTTGGCCCCCTAGCAAATTCATTTTCCAGTCATTTTCTCTTGTCCTCTCAAATCTGGGGTGCTCCCCCCTCCTCCTGCCCCTCCCCCACTCTGAGCTAATACTCAGAGTATTAGCTTCTTGTTTCTGACTTCACTGAGCAATTAGAAGTAATCAGATGAGGACTTGCCTCTCCCAAGTCTCCCCTTGCTACCTGCATGCAGAACCATGTATTCTGTCTTCTCTCCTGTCTCCACTCCTCAGGCGACCGCCACCCTCAGGTGCGTTGGACCCCATCCTTTCCTGCCTAATCATCATGTCCCCCCAACAGAGAAATAGTGCCAACACTGCATGAGCATGTCGTAGTATCTCCTTTTTTAAAATTGAAATGAGGAGGGGCGCCTGGGTGGCTCAGATGGTTAAGCGTCTGCCTTCGGCTCAGGTCATGATCTCAGGGTCCTGGGATCGAGTCCCGCATCGGGCTCCCTGCTCGGCAGGGAGCCTGCTTCTCCCTCTGCCTCTCTCTCTCTCTGTCTCTAATGAATAAATAAATAAAATCTAGAAAAATAAAAAAATAAAAAAAATTAAATTAAAATGAGGAAACAAGAAACACGTTTCCTTTGATCCCATATTCCCTCCAGCTACTTCTTTCAGCATCCCCTTTACAGTAAAACTCCTTAAAAGAAGTGTCTGTTATGTAGGCTCTGCGTCCTTATTTCCTGTTCTCCCTTTAACCGGTTCCAATCCGACGGCAGTTGTCCTGTCCACACTGCTTTACTGGAAGTGTCTTCATCTTAAAAAATCTACTGGGCAGTTTTGTTTGTTCTGATTCCCCACCCCCCTCCACAGCAGCTGACATCCCCTCCTTCTTTTTTTTTTTTTATTATTATTATTTTTTATTTATTTTTTTAATTCTTATGTTAATCCCCATACATGACATCATTAGTTTTAGATGTAGTGTTCCATGATTCATTGTTTGTGCATAACACCCAGTGCTCCGTGCAGAACGTGCCCTCCTCAATACCCACCACCGGGCTAACCCGTCCTCCCACCCCCCCATCCCCTCCTTCTTGAAACACCGTTTCGCTTGGCTTTTGGGTCCTCCTGCCTTGCTGGCTCCTCCTCCTCAGTCTTCCTTGCTGGCTCTGTCCTCTTTTATAGATGTCCTCTCTGCCTGCTTCTGTTCCTTTTTCATTAGCCACCCCTTCTGCCGATACCAGTCTCCTGACTATAAGTATTGCCTGTATGCTGAGGATTCCCAAATATGTATCCTAGTCCCAGACTCTCCCCTGAGCTCTACACTCATATATCCAGTCATCTTTTAAACATCTCTTAATCATCTCTTGCATGCCCAATAGACAAGTCCAAGAGGATTTTGATTTGTCAACTCTTCTGTCACCTCCAAAGCCATTTTCCACCCAGGCTTCTCTGTCTTGGGTATTGGCATTCCTATTCACTCGTTACTCAGGCCAAAGAGATTCTATGCCCCTCCTCCTCCCCCCCCACCCCGACTTCTAATCTGTCAACAAGCCCCATTGGCTTCTTTCTAAAATATATTCTGTATCCAACTACTTCTCCCCACCTTCCTCTTCCCTACAAAGCAGCCTATCCAAGCCAGCCACCTCTCGTTTGGACTCCTGCGGTAGCTTTCTTACTGGTCTTTCTGCTTTCGTGGGTGCCTGTCAATCTCCCGCCCCCTCCCCCCAAATTACGGTGAAGACCATAACTTTAAAAAGACCACTCAAGCGTCAGAGTGATTTTTTTAAAAATGCGTAGGAGAACATGTCATCCCCAGCTGAAAATTGTCCAGTGAGTTTGTATTAACATTAGAATAGAACCCAGCTTCCTGACCCCCACCTTCCTCACTGACTTCATCTCCTCTACTCTCCCCCTTTCTCACTAAGCATCTGCTGCCTCCCTGCCCTCCTCAGACGGGTCAAACCTGTTAGTGCATCCAGGCCTTTCCATCTACTGTTTGCTCTTCCTGGGGCACTCTGTGCATGTGGCTTCTTTGTAATCATCCGGGTCTCTGCTCAGATGTCATTACCTTAGAGGAGCTCTCCCTCCTGTCCTTGCACAAATAATCTCCATCTCCACCCCATCCCTCTCTAGCCATGTGTGCTGTGTGAATTTCGTCACAGAACTTGTTGTCAGAACTTGCAGCATTTTTTAATGTACTTGTTTATTTTCTTTCTCCCCTCCTAAAATACCTCCTCAAAGGCAGAGACATAAAGACAGTGCTGCCACATAGCACAAGCCTTGAGGGGCCCCCGGGTGTTATTGGTGTTGAGGGGATGCCTGGTTAGTGAAGAAAGACTTTCAGACGAAAGGACTTCACCACCTTTTGGGCTGGAAAGAGAAGTAATGTTCGACTGGGCATTCCTTCCTGTGGTGACTTCTTCAAATGAAAAGCTGTTTAGTTTCCTGCTCTTCGGTCCTTGTTGTGTTTTGGATGGTTTGCATTGCTGATTCAAATTAGTATATCATGTTTTTTGAGTTGGGGAGGAGAGTTTCTTCCTGAGGAGACACTTACTTCTACCTTGTTTTGTAGCCTCAATAGAGCCCCAGTAGCTCAAGCGCCCTGTGCTCATGGCCACCAGGGGACACTGTGGAGCTGTTTAAATCCATTGAGACCCTTCGCTAAGCTCGGAGACAATGGCTGCATGTTTTCCAACTCTACCCTACTGTAAAGAACTTGAAATTTTATTTATTTATTTATTTTTTTAAAAAAGATTTTATTTATTTATTTATTTGACAGAGACACAGCGAGAGAGGGAACACAAGCAGGGGGAGTGGGAGAGGGAGAAGCAGGCTCCCCGCAGAGCAGGGAGCCCGACGGGGCTCAATCCCAGGACCCTGAGGTCATGACCTGAGCCAAAGGCAGACGCTTAATGACTGAGCCACCCAGGCGAGCCGAAGGCAGACGCTTAACGACCGAGCCACCCAGGCGCCCCAAGAATTTGAAATTTTTAAAAAAGTGTGTGAAAATTAAAGTTGTTACGATCTTCTAAAGGGGTAAAAACCAACCAAACAAACAAAAAGCCACCCAAGCCCTCTTTTTCATAAAAGGGGAGAAAAGAGAGCCTTTCATGTTGATATGAAGAGAGGTATGCCTGATTGCCTAAGATGTGGCTTTGTTTCAGTAAAATCATGAACTTTTGAATTTTACCAGAAATGTGAGGCAAGGGATTTGGGTCTGGAAAACGCAGCAGCTGATTTCCCAGAAGAAAAGTGAGTGGAATTTCCCTCCCGCATGTCTTACATTAAACTAAATCTTACTGATGGGAACAGGATGAAGACAAGTGCTTTAAATATGTTGCTGACCTCAGAGGACGGCACAAGTTCTAGGCATGTTGAAGGACAGAGGCAAGTGTCCCAGTGAGAACGGGAAAGCGAGGGTGAGACCAGATCCTCTCGCGGAGTCTCTGCCTAGGGGCTGACAAGCTTCCTCAGGTAGAGCCCAGTGAGCTGAATTCTTCAGAAGAGCTCCACCATTTATACTCCCTTCAGGACAGGGTGAAGAGCAAACTTCCATCCTCCGTGTAGATCCAGAGTCAGAAGGGCTTTCACACGTCGGCTATGCTATTTTTTAGCCAAGTCAGAAAGCTGTCAGCAAAACTATCTTCCCGTAGGGAGCGAGAGAAAGCCAGGGAGGAGAAAGTGGGGGGAGAGAGAGACACACACACACACACACAGCAAATGTGCACGGAAATGTCCAGCTAAACCACTGGTGCACCCAACACTGTGATCATTTGAGGTTGAATATTTATTATAGAGTCAAGAATGCCGGGGGCTCCTGGTGGCTCAGTCGGTTAAGCATCTGCCTTCGGCTTAGGTCATGATCCCAGGGTCCTGGGATTGAGCCCCACGTCGTGCTCCCTGCTCAGTGGGGAACCTGCTTCTCCCTCTACCTCTGCCCCTCTGCTTGTGCTCTCTCTTTCAAATAAATAAATAAAATTAAAAAAAAAAAAAAAGAATCAAGAATGCTGGAGGAGAAGAGGGAAGAAAAAAATGTCAAGGAAACCATTCCTTCCCAAGTTTGCCTTCAGTACCAAGCCTGGCAACTTATATGGGGAATTTCCCATCTCTGCCTGCATTCATGAGAAGAAAAAGAGAATGTACTTTTTCAGATGTTCAGCAAAGCACTTGAAAACACACATGTGTGTCCCAAGCATTATCAGACTGCCCCCTTCCTGGAGGGTAGGTCCAGTGGAGGGAGCTTCAATTCTGCCTGCAGAACTAGGAGCCACAGCCCCTGCCTCCTCTCCGTGACTATTGGGTGCCCCCAGGAAGGACTGTGCGGGACCAAGTCTGCTGAGTTCTTCTGCAGGAGGAGTTCTTCCGTGGTTGGCGACCCACGGACCATCCAAAGCTGGTGCACCCCTGTGTCCTCTGAGAACCCTATCTCCTTAGGCTGCAGGAGAGGTCGGGAGAGGGACTGGCCTTCACCCCGCTGTTTCCCTCTTGTCCGGACTCTCTCAAAATCTTTCATGGACACAAGTGTTTTGACATCTGGATATCTAATGTTAGATCAAGCCAGACGGGAGCGCACATGCCCTTCCATACCTCCGTGGGCCATCGATTGCTCTCATCCCCAGCAATCTCCCAACTACTTTCTAGCTGCAAATCCAACCCCAAACCCCCAAGTGAATGGCTACGTGGGGA